GACGCAAGGTATGGGCCGCCGCCTGATCTTGACCAGCCACGCATCCGATATACAAGCCAGGTACGACCACGGACACCTGTGCTCAAGGGGAAAAGGCTTTGGAGGTATTCAGGATGTAGCGCGTCTCCAATCAGGAACGTTGATTCTCTGTATGAAACATCTGTCTTCGGGTGCCTGGGGTTAACTTGGTGATTGGGCGGGAACTCTTCTCACGTCAGGACGGTCTCCCCCTCCAACCCCATACTCGATCATGGGCAGTACAAGAGGGCCTGTCAGACAATCCTCCTGACAGATTCATTGACTGGATACCAAGTGACATACTTAGGCGGGGATAAAATCCGACCTTATAAGTAGACTATTGAAACCCCCATCAGTGATGAGTAGGGGTGTCATATCCCTTGACCATGGACCGGGCTTCCATAAATAATACGATGAATTCATATTGATGGAGGGGCCATCCTCTACGTCGCTCAATGAAACGTGAGAAAGCCACTGAGGATTGACAATATTGAATATTCACCTTTCGATCGATGTGACTGAGGGCTGCGATCAAACACGTTCTCACGCTTGCAACGCTGTGCCACTGGCAGCTGCCGGGCGTCTAGTGTGTTGGAGGTGGACCGGATTAGCGGCCCGAGCTTACTGGTAGCGGTGTCATCCAGTACAGCATATTAACACGAATTGGACGACTTTGGTTGCTAAAACAATGGAACTCGTCAGCAAAGGCAACAATCCCTAACGCTGATTGGTGGGGATAAGCAAATCGATCGTGTTTCCGCGAGTTTGGACTGGCTGACCGATAGAGTGAGCGCGGTCCTGAAACGACTAGCCTGGGAAGAGATGGGTGTCCACCTGTGTCCACGGATCCTATGTTAGACAAATGCACTCGCTTATGTCCGTCTTCCCCGTTAGGTTTCCGAGAACGGGGGCAAGATTGGGCGAGTCTGAACACGCCCAAGCTGAGAGAATTCACTTGATACTGGGAGGGGAAAAAGACATATCACCCCTAGTTGCGGTGTATGTTGCTGACGCCGACATACGGTTGGAGCACTGGAAAGTCAGCGTTAGTACGCTCAGCCTCCGCGTATATAGTCGGCCCGGTGCCTTCGGTTTCCACAAGCGTAGACAACCAGGAGGCTCGTATCCTGGCGTAAGTGGTTCTTGCGGACGACCCTTGTGAGAGTAAATAAGCCCCCCATTTGCGGTTAGGGACTCAGCGAATAGTATCTCCGCTCGGCTGATGCGTACGTTGCCTGGTGTGGGCGCCCCACACATAGTGGTTCGGAGATGGTACCGTTGGCCGTATAGGAGGCAGCCGCTCGTGAGGATTTCGTGGACTCTCAGGACGCTGCTTGCTAAAAACGTGCTAGATGTGGGCATGAGGATGATAGCCTCGATATCTTTTCAATTTGGCTGGCTCGGCAAATCTGCCTTAGCCGAGCCTGGCGTGTGACCGTGTGACCAACCGTCACATCAGTCTCCTTCCTTCATCGAGTTGGACGTCGTCGGCCACGACGAGCAACCCACTAAGGGTCTAACCCTGGCCTTTGCTCACTTCACTCTCTTTCTTGGCAGTTACTCTGGTGCTCCGTTATCTATCTTCTCCATTCCCACCTTTTCTGGCAGTTTATCACCATGGCCGTGACCGCGACCATGGAGATGGCCCCAGGTCCGTCATGGGACGAGAAGATTGTACCAACCCTCCGCAAGCGTACGTGCAAACCGCTATCTGTGTTCAGCTAGACCCAATCTCCCCCTTGTATTACTCCCCCCGTCGCTTGGCAATTGATATTGACGCTCCATTCACTCACATCTTTCCGCTCATTTGCCTCTGCTCTTTCACAACGCCTCCTCAGATTCACACAACACAGCCTGTCCACCTGGGTGCTAACATACCCTTTCCCGCACAGGGCTCGAGACGGAGAGCAAGCTACTAGCTAAACGAATGTCCGCCGCCTCGATCAACTCGGAGGACAACACCCCACAATTATCACCTCGCAACAACTCCAGCCATACCGCTACCATACAGACCTATTACCACCACCAACCCCGTCCCAGCGCAATACCCCGTCCCAGCATCCAATCACGGCCTTCCGACTCGAGTAATCGACCGACGCAGTCTCAGTTCACGAGAACACGAACCATTTCTCAACCATTTCCTTTCGACGCCGATACGGTAGACAGAACAGCGGCTTCGCCATCTCCTACATCCCCACCGCTTTCCAACATCTCGCGTATACCCATTAAAGCGAGAACCGGCAGTGTCTCTACGAGTACTCACAGTACACCTCGGATAGATGGGCGAATATCAAAGGATACTTATTACGCCGCGGACGCGATTGCTCCGCGGAATAAGGCCTCGGCTCTGGTCAATGAACAGCCTCCCTTTCCTCCGGACACCGATGTTGACAGCGTCCGCTTCTCTTCGGAATCGGAAGAACGACCATTTGAGCATTGGTACCGAGGTGATGTATCTAGAAACGGTGGGGTAGGAGAGTTCCGTGTAGCACGACGAAAGGAAATGCTGGAGATTGCCAACTACGGTCATTCCACGAAGAAAAAACTTTCCTCACGGGCAGCTTCTCGGTTTGGGGTACATACTGAAGCGGCATCACCACGCCGGAGAGCGGGGAGCATTGGCGTTGATAGGTCAAGCTTTTACATGGAGGACCCCCGTTCCAAGGACGATCTCGTCCTCGACGAAGTACCCCCCTCTGCTATCGCATACTCCGATCCTGAACCAGAGGATGACCACGATTCAGAAATGGACTACTATTTTGGCTCCCATACGACAACCGCGTCATTCCCTCCAGCCTCTTTTGAGCCAGAACCTCAGCAGATTACGACGGTTCCCGAGGCACTTGCACCTTCTCAGAAACGGCCCAGTCGTGAGCATGCCCAGACGAGATCGATGACCACCCCAGAGCCAGTCAGAGCGAGTTCCGATTCTCCATCGACGTCGTCATCCCCCCCTCCTCGCACTCCCACTCCGAGGACAAGATCTCAGACTCCGACCAACTCCGTGGGAAACCAAACTCCGAGACAAAATTCCAAGAGCCCTGGCCCAGACAAGTCGCCGAGGTCGAATGGCACGGCGAAGAAGGCGAAGACAACGCTTAAAACCCCGCCCTCAGCACACAAGACCAAGAAAGGGCTGGAGAGCCGACGTTCCGTCGGCGTGTATCCCGTGACAGAGCTAGATGACGCGGAGCACGCGATCCCTACATTGACTCAGCCAGTCGAGGGCTCCAATTGGGACGAGGTAAGAGGCAATTCTCGACCGGATCGATTGTGATTAATGACCCCATACAGGTTGTTTTACCGGCTGTTGCTCGGAAGAAGGGTCTGGATGGACAATACCAAACCACCATCGGAAATACCAAGCCGCGGAAACCTGATCCTCACCGCCCAGAACCTGTGTGTCTTTACGTTTGACAACTGGGTACGATCTAGCTTACAATATTTCTTCAGGCTCCTGGAACATTCGGCTACGATTATTCCAAGTATAGGCCTCCAAGAGACGGAGATTCCGTGCCCAATGGCATCGAGTTGGATGACTTTGGCGTTAGGAAGCCAGCTACTGATACTGATTCCACCGTGGAGAAGCTGAAGGAAGGCCCTCCCTCTACTGCAGCCACCATGATAGAGGATGATCGGCCGATCACAACAGCGAAGCAGAATGGATATAATCACCGGCCCTCACCCCCTCCATCTCCTGCTCCGTTTTCACGTTATACACCTCAAAGTCCACTCGAGGCAAAACCCATCCCTTTCCAGGCACCCCCTCCTGCGGAGGAGGAGGATCACAGCGGTGGTTGCTGCAAATGTGTCATCATGTAATTCTCCTCCCGAATACCTCGACTTCTCGTACATGGTTCTTCCGACGATTCTCCAAATGCCAAGGGCGTTCAAGGACATTCCCTTCTATTTGGATCCAGTGCTGCATGTTGTTCTTCCACCTTCAACATTTCGTCATGCCCTTCCTTCTGAGGATGTATTATATCTTGGTTAGCCCCTTTTTCGGGCCCACCGTTTTCCGCCCTACTCCCCGTGACATGTCTTGATATCAGGCCCTCGTCCCTGATACTACGCTCCTTTCTCTCCATTCACAGCGAACTACCCTACTGCACCACCGTGATACTCTTCTCTGACCCGTCGCGACTCTTTTGTTCGGGATTTACAGCGTTGCATCTTCATTTACCCCTTAATCCTAGCAATGAAAATACCACTGTTCCGTCATTCTCTCCCATCTGACGCCTCCGGGTGCATTTTCACGGACATCCATGACCAACGGTTTAGGTTATGTCAAACTCCTGATTTACCTGTGGGTTGCCATGGCCGGATCGTTACGCATGATTTTTTGCATTCCGCGCTGTGACGTAGATCCATGGGTAGGTGCATTATGCATTGTACCACGTTTCGCCTCTCTCCACCCTAGGCCACCTCCTACTCACCACCGTCCTCGTGGCGGACACAGCGAACGACCGAATATCTAGAAGCTCTCCCTCCGCACATTGGAAATGCCCATGGGAGCAGATCACAGTGCCGTCAGTGTTTTATGCTGTCAACGTTGGGAAGCGTTCCAGCTCTGTATTCTATTGACATAACATCAGGTGTTAGAATATGGCGACCATCAGCTACTAACACTCTCAACGTCTGCCGTCAAGGGTGATTTCGTGATTGTCAGATACTTACTTTCCAATTCAGTTCCAGAAGAATTCGCTCGTTGCACGAGAACTGATCAAACTCTACGAGATTGGAACGTCCGAGATGGCGATATATATGCATTGTATCGGGGATCCGGTTGTGATAACTTAGCTACAAGATAATGGTTCGTGCAACTGCGGGGAATACAAAGACTCTTTGAAATTGGAGGCATGTATGTGCGTGTACACATCTCAAAGAAGCCGACTGGTTGAAATCAGTTTGGCAACGCCTGCACAGAAAGATGAAGGATTTTTGAGCCTCCCTGAACGCAGTGTTGAAGGAGAGGAAAAAAGCGACGCCAGCAGGATTCGAACCTGCGCCCGGAAACCGGAATAGATGCCATGCTCCCCCGTCTCGGATGAAGTTCTAGTCTATCGCTTTAACCACTCAGCCATAGCGCCTTATAGATCTGCACGCCCTTTCCCCATATCATAATGTTTAACGGGAGGAGAATACGGAAGATAATCTCCCTCGGCTGACGCCCCTCCTCAGGCGCTCCATCTTGGGAACTGTCCTCACCGTGGCCTTTTAAAGATGCAAACCCCTGTGTTCGTAATGAGTGAGTAGCTTTCAATATCCCTCCTCGGCCATGACCCTCAGCTCAGCTCACCAGACACCACGCCGGAGCTGCAATCGGAGGAAAGCCCAAGTCTCAAACATCACTGCCGCAAAGGTGGGTTGTATCACCCCTGAGAACCGTCGTTAGGACTCATATCTACCGAAAAGACGGTCGCAGATGTGATTAGGACGTGTCTCGGTCCAAAGGCAATGCTAAAGATGATTCTCGACCCAATGGGTGGATTCTGTGAGTCCTCGGATTACCGCGTTCTTATACTCAAGTTCAGCAGTCCATTTTCCTTGCCATGGATTTTTTGTTTGTGCTTGGATCGATTCGATATAATCTCCCTCAGGCTCACAAATGACCGGAACGTGATTTTGCGAGAGATCGGCGTCGCCCACCCCGCGGCCAAAAACACGATTGAACTCAGTCGGACACTTAGGACGAAGAGTGCGGAGATGGAACGACGAGCGTTATCGTTCTCGGTTTGGCAATTTAAGCCTCTGCATTTCTCATCGTTGTTAACTTCCAATCGCAGCTGGATCCAGAGATCCTCGCACAATCACTGTCCCAGCTCGAACGAGACATTCACCAAGTTGTGATTATTTCGGCACATAACAAGGCTCTCAAAGAGTCACTGGAAATCATCAAAAGGATATCTATCCCTATAAACGTCAACGACGACGAAGAGATGAACTTCCATCGGCACCAAGTTCGCAGTACGCTGATGTGCAATCTTGCCCCGCAAGCGGTTCGTACCGTGGCACAAGACCCTGAATTGGACGCGTCTATGTCAGGAGTCCAGTCGGTCGATATAAAACGTTACGCTCGGGTCGAGAAGGTCCCGGGAGGTGAGATAGAGCAAAGCCGTGTGCTGAACGGGATTATGCTCAACAAGGACATCACGCACCCAAAAATGCGACGGAGGATCGCTAAACTGCGTACTGTCCTCCTAGATTGTTCCCTCGAATACAAGAAAGGGGAATCGCAAACGAACATCGAGATCACGAATGATACTGACTGGTCAAGGATCCAGGAAATTGAGGAGGAGCAGGTAAAGGCGATGGTGGACAAAATCGTGGAATTGAAGCCGGACTTGGTCATAACCGAGGAAGGGTACGCTCAGCATTTCCTGTACAAGGCGAACGTTTCGGCTATCCGCCGTGTCCGGAAGTCAGACAACAATCGCGTAGCCCGTGCGATTGGTGCTGCTATCGTCAACGGGATCGAAGATCTACAAGAGTCGGACGTGCTGTGGGCTTTTCTACATCGAGAAGATCGGCGACAATATTTCACGTTCTTGGATGAGTGCGACTCCCCGAAGGCGTGCACGATACTTCTGAGAGGACCGTCGAGGGATATCTTGAACGTGAGATCGACAGGAACCTTGCGGACGCGATGTCTGTCGCAAGAAACGTGATCTTTAATCCCACGAGGTTAGTGTACCACTCTAATCCCTCGCGCAGAACCGATGTCACGTCTTTTGCAGGATGCTAGGATGCTGTTGCGAGTCGATGATGTCGTTCAGACCGCAGAGTCTGGGGGACCTTGCAGTACCAGAAGCGGAGTAGTAATGGATTTGCACACCACCAATTTGGACTCTTCCGGTTAGTGACGTGCCAAGAGGATCTTTGCCAAACAGCGTGGGTCACTGAGTGAACACGGTTGGATATTTGATGGGCGGGCTTGATAAATTGGAGGCAGTGTGGAATGATGGCGCCCAACAAACAGTTGCGCGTAGCATTTTCATGATGATTAAATAAGCCAGAACAAACAAGGTGGGATTAAACTATACGATGGCAACCTGAGTAGAACAAAGCAGTCCGGTTTTAACAGTACACTCCTACACACTTCATCACCCGCGGAGTGAGGAGAGCGCTCAGTGAGATCCCGAGGGGGGATCGTAAGGGGTCCTCAAATGTTCGCTCGGCAGCTCATACTTCTCACTGTCGTACACGCCACCAGGAGCGAAGGTCTCCCCTGTCCTGACATAACCACGAGCGGTTCCCTTTCCACCCTTGCGGCGGCGGAAGAGGGCGAGCACAGCGATGACGATGTATCCGAGACCCATGACACCGACGGCGGCGATAAGGCCAATGATGAGACCCTTGTTCTGATCGTCTCCCGCCACGTCAAGGTTACCCGTCACATCGTTGCCGTTGCTGATGGCGTTGGTGGTGCTGTTGGGCTTGATGTTGGTGGAGTTGTTAGAATTGGTGGTGGTGTTGGTGTTGGTGTTGTTAGTGCTGGGGGGAGTGGTCGTGGTGGTCGTGGTAGAGTTAGGGGGTGTGTTAGTCGAGTTGGAAGCGGGCCCGGCTGCGACGAGGGATTCGAGCTGTTTAGTGGGCTGATTAGCACGGCTGATACCACAGCGCGTGGTGCATTCCTGAAGAGCGAAGGCGACGTTATCGGGGATCTGTGAAATCAAGGGGTCAGATGACGATCGTAGATGGGACGTAAGAGGGAGCAAACCTGTTTGGCAATTTTCTGGACCTCGGACTCATCAATGCCAAGAGCAGCAGAGAGCACATCGGAGGGGAAACCGAAGACTGTGAGAAAACGGAAGATGTAAGCGACCTGGCTCAGGGGAGATCGAGGAGATAAGGGGGAAAATGATAGACGTACATCGTTGAGCGCTAAGAAGGGAAAGGGAAAAATTGGGGTTAGTCAAATGAAGGTTCCGAACACGCGGCAGGTCACACTGACATTTGGCTGAAGAAAGGAGGTGAGCGGGGTCGATAATGGAGATAAGGGGGAAAACTCACTTTACGCCTGGGAAAGAATCCCTGAAGAAGGCGACGAAGGTTACGGGCTCGCAACGGTCGTTGTACTCGAAATGAATGGCGCCCTCGGGGAAGAGAGTGGCCTGGTCGGTGAAGACTTCGTTGAAGACATATTGGGCGCCGTTCTCGGGGATCATGCCGGTGATGAGGGAGCCGTTAGTAACGAAATTGAACTCTGGGGACCTCGGATGGGTGTGGGGGGTATTGAAACCACATGGGCCGAGGAAACCGGCAGCTGTGGAACAAGGGCGCGTCAATTGGGATGGGCGGGGCGCAAACGACTCGCGTACTGATTGAGATATCGTTTCCGATAGTGGCGGGCATGGTCTCAGAGTTGGCGGAGGAGGAGAAACCAGCTGCGCCGGTGGTCCTGGCGGGGATATCGTTCACGAAATCAAACTTGAAAGCGGCATCAGGGAGGATAGCGATTCTGGAGATATCGGTGGGGAGGTCCAAGAGCTCTGAGATGAGCTGAGCCTGGGCGGCGACGCTAGAGAAAGCGATTGCGGAGAGGATGAAGAACCGTGAGATCATCGTTAAGAGGGGAAAGGGGAGGAAGAGGATGAGGGGAAAGAGAAGTGAGGGAGCAGATGATTTAAATAAATTTTCGAATGGGGAGCACAGCTCTGTGTCAGGGCGAGGCCGTCGGTTACTCTGGGCGGTGAAATCCAGAGGTTGTTTCAGATCGACCTATGGTCTCGTGAGAACAGGCGAGAGTTGATTTCGTTCCCCTGTTGGCCACCGATGTCCGACTGTGTAGTAAGCACCTTGCTTGCGCGCTCAATCTCACTCTCTCTACACAACGGCCAGGATGGAAGACAAGCACGAAGACAGAGGGTACACCTCCATCTCTGACCACGGACTGTAGGTAAATCTACAACTCCTCTTCATCTCCGCTGACCGACATCATCGCCTCACAGCATCGGAAATCTGAGAACGGCGGCACTGGTGAGCGACCACGTCTCTTTCTCCCCGCCTGATCCTTGATTCCCTCCCCAGGTCAGCTCCGACGGCTCAGGTGCGCTCAACTAAATTCAGATACCCTCCCAACCCCTAACTCTCGTTCTCCAGTCGAGTCCTATTGCGTTCCCGATTTCGACTCCCCCTCTATCTTCGCTCGCATCCTCGACAAGGACAAGGGCGGTCACTTCTCTATCACTCCGGCCGTAGACTTCTCCACCAAGCAAAGCTACCTCCCGTCCTCCAACGTATGTACCCTCACTCTCTTACACCCCATCAGAGTTCAATATCCCCGTCCTTTCAGATCCTTCAAACGAAGTTCCTCAACGAGGGTGGTGTCGTCCAAGTCGCAGATTTCCTTCCGCGCCAATCTTCTACCAACTCTGGTCATCCCCCTTTGCGCTGGTTAATCCGCAGAGTCGAGGTAAATCATTCCTCTACTTCGATCGCCATCATCATCTCACTCGTTCAGGTAATCCGTGGTGTCTTTCCCCTCAAAGTCCAAGTCGCACCTGCATTCAATTATGCTCGTGATAAGCACGATACCCACATTCTCCCAGATCACTCTGTTCCTGGCTGTCTCGACCGCACCCCACCTCACAACAAGGCCCTTTTTGTCTCCGAAAACCTCTCCCTCGACTTCAGGTACATCTCTGAGAGTGTAATCGACGGCGTTCCCGCTCCTGAGGTCGACATTCAACTCTTGGATTTGACAAAAAGAGGCCATCTCGGTCTCTCCGCATCCATTGACCTCAACCTCATCGAAGGCCAGGTCGTTACCTTTGTCCTCAGATCCATTTCCCCTTCTCAAGTCAAACGAGATCTCGAATCTCAGTCCCCCGGCCTAGGAATGGAACAGGCCCTCCAAAAGGTTATCCCTAGTCCGAAAGTCGCAGAAGAGTTGGGAATTGACTACAAGACTCTCGTATCTGGTGCCTCAAAATTGAGGGCTGCAGATGACCCTTTGCTTACCGCTGAACTCCTTTCTGAGCTTTTTACCGTGAGTGCCACCCAAAAAGCACAGTTTTTATCATTCAATTCTCCATCCAGACCACAAACCAATATTGGGTAAACTGGATTCGCCGATCCACCTACACCG